TTATGTGTTTAGTGTATTTAGTATGTGTAGTGTATATGTAGTGTATGTATAGTATAGTGTGTGTAGTATGTGTGGTGTGTATATGTGTAGTGTGTAGTGCATGTACAGTATGTGCAGTAGTGTAGTGTGTATGGTGTGTGCAGTACGTATGTTGTGTGCATGTGTGTAGGGTATATATAGTATGTGCGTAGTGTATTGCAGTACGTGTGGTGTATGTGTGTAGTGTGTAGTGCACGTACAGTGTGTGCAGTACGTGTGTTGTGTGCATGTGTGTAGGGTCTGTATAGCATGTGTGCAATGTATTGCAGTACGTGTGGTATATGTGTGTGTAGGGTGTGTTTAGTACACGTACAGTATGTGCAGTACATGTAGTATGTATGGTGTGTACAGTACGTATGTTGTGTGCATGTGTGTGTAGGGTATGTATAGTATGTGTGTGGTGTATTGCAGTACGTGTGGTGTATGCATGTAGTGTGTGTAGTGCACGTACAGTATGTGCAGCATGTGTGGTGTGTATAGTGTGTGTGCAGTATGTGTGGGGTGTGTGTGTAGTGCATGTACAATATACAGTACGTGTAGTGTGTATAGTATGTGTGTTGTGTGCATGTGTCTGTAGGGTTTGCATAGTATGTGTGTAGTGTATTGTACGTGTGGTGTATGTGTGTGTAGTGCATGTACAGTATGTACAGTACGTGTAGTGTGTATAGTGTGTGCAGTATTGTGGGGGTGTGTGTGTAGTGCATGTACAATATGCAGTACGTGTAGTGTGTGTATAGTATGTGTCGTATGCATGTGTGTGTAGGGTATGTATAGTATGTGTGTAGGTGTGCGTCTATGTGTGTGCAGGGTGTGTAGTGCATGTACAGTATGCAGTACGTGTGTTGTGTGCAGGGTGTGTGTAGTGCATGTACAGTATGTGCAGTACATGTGTGTAGTGTGTGTGTGCAGGGTGTGTGTGTGGTGCATGTACAGTATGTGCAGTACGTGTGGTGTGTGTACAGTGTGTGTGTGTGTGTGTGCAGCGTGTGTAGTGTGTGTACAGTATGTACGGTACGTGTGTTGTGTGCATGTGTGTGCAGGGTGTGTGTGTAGCGCGTGTACAGCATGTGCGGTACGTGTGGTGTGTGTACAGTGTGTGTGCAGTACGTGTGTGTGTGTGCAGCATGTGCGGTACGTGTGGTGTGTGTACAGTGTGTGTGCAGTATGTGTGTTGTGTGCATGTGTGTGCAGGGTGTGTGTAGTGCGTGTACAGCATGTGCGGTACGTGTGGTGTGTGTACAGGGTATGTGCAGTACGTGTGGCTTCTGCACGTAAGGAAGAACGCAGGGACTCAGCAGAACAACGGGCTGCGGCCGTGGTTGAGCGGGACAGTAGAAGAGGGTGTGGTGAAGGCACAGAAAACACTCACTCCCTTGTACCTGGAAGTGAGACCCGCAGAGCGTGCTCCTAGAAAGGCCGTGGCGCCCCCGTGGGCGCTGCCGGCGGGAGGTTGCAGTTGGGGAGGTGCGTGCCCTTTGACTCCGGACCCCACGTGCGAGAACGTCCTCTGCAGATGGAGCGCGTGTCTGTCTCGGAGTCCTGGCTTGTCTAGAACACACCCTGAGTGTGCAGCCGTGTGGGTGTGTTGATGAGGGAATCCCGGGAACGTGGCCCAACTGCGTGAAAGAGACCACGTTGCTGCCTCAGGGAGTGTGCGGGCGCGGGGCGAATGGGTACTCCCATGTTGCAGGGTCTTTGACGCTGAACAGGTATTCACATGTTACCCGTGCAGATAGAACAGGTAAAACAGCAAAATAAACACGCTGGCCCTGTTCTGATGTGGAAAGAATGTCGAAACATTTTTAATTAGAAGAACACACAGTCACAACAAGGTGTTCAGTGCCTGCTGCCTGCGAAAAGAAGCGCTGTCACCTGAGGCCCACGCATGCCGGGACGTCGGCGAGGAGGTGTGGGCAGCTCGGCAGTGGTGGCTCCGGGGGACGGGAATGTTGGGTGTGGGGCGGGTTTTGCACTGCGTGTTCCTCTGAAAGTCTTTTTATGCTTCGTGTATTTGTTTTGTTACTTTTTAATTGAATTCTCCCACATTTAAAACACATGGAGTGCACTGACCTTTGCCAGGGCAGTTATCCGCGGCATCCGGTTGAGCGCGTGTGCCAGGGCAGCCGCCTTACTGTCCCAGCGCGCACACGGCGCAGGCGCAGAACTGCTGGGGACGGGGTCTTTCCGTGGGAGCAGGAGCAGAAACTCAGGCTGTGCCTGGTTCTCTGCCTGGGCCAGCACGCAGCTACTCCCACAGCCGCCAGGCGGCCCGGCCCGAACACTGGACAGGGCAGGTCCCACTCCTGTGCATCCCCAGCATGCACTGCTATGGCGTTTTAAAATCTGTTTTGGATCCAGTCATCTGCCACAGGGATCCTAATTAGTTTTATTTTCTGTTTGGTTTTCCGCCTCTGGACTGCGTGGCTGATCAGGTGGACGGGGAGTCTGAGGAGGAGCCGGAGTCGGCCGACACTGGGGAGGAAGAGGAAGGCGGTGACGAGTCGGACCTGGTGAGCGGCGCTTGGTCCTGTCCCTGGCAGAGTCGCGTGAGAGGGCCTGGTGCAGGCTGCCCGGCCGGGTGCTGGGCCGGCAGGCTGGGGCAGAGCGCGGCCCCGCTCGCTGGCTGCTGACGTGGGTGGCGTGACCGGGAGTGGGCAGCAGGGCAGTGCCGGAGTTCTGCCGCGGGGGCCGAGGCGAGAGCGAGGGAGGCCGGACCTGAGGTGTTCTGGGTAGAACAGACAGGAGCGCAGGTGGGTCGGCCGCCACGCAGCGGCGAGGGACAGGACCAGGGGGAGACACTGAAGTCTTGATCCCGGCAGAGAGTCCAAATCTGAGTTGGGCACCCAGGTCTGCAGGAAGTGGGGAGTGTGGAGGTGGGGAGCGGGGTGAGGCCCAGGGCGAGGGCCGAACGGAGAGCCAGCGGCTTGTGACACTGAGAGGCCTCTGGGCTGTAGGCGGGGCCTCAGGGGCGCTTGGGGGGCTGAGCGACGCTCCAAAGAGGGAGGAGGCAGCGCGAGGCCGGCCCGTCAGCCGGGGAGCGAGAGGATCACGCAGAAGGGCTTGGTGGCAGAGGGTCCTTTCTGTGGCATGGCGGAGGGCGGTTGGATTCAAGCAGCAGTAAGCTTTGGGTACAGCGCTTGTTCTTTCTGGAAGTTTTGCTGTGTGAGGAGCGCAGTTGGAGCAGGGCTGTCTGCGACACAGACGGAGCGCCGGACAGCAGGGCTCGGATGGGTGGCGGGCAGGGGACCCGCGCCTGTGGTCGGTGAGGCAGCCGTGCTTGCCTTTGTGTCTGTCGGGCTCTTCCCAAGTGACTCCATGTAGCCACAGGGGGAAGGAATTGCGAGGCCTCCGCACTCCAGCACCGTGGTGTCCGCTGACGCACACGGGCCGGGCCTGCCCGCCGCACCTGTAGAGCCCGGCACTCAGCGCCCTTTCTGCGTCTCTGTTTGTTTTCCTTGTTTTTTATTTATTTGTTTGGTTTTTTTTGGAGACAGGGTCTTGCTCTGTCGCCCAGGCTGCAGTGCAGCAATGCGATCCCAGCTCACTGCAGCCTCCAACTCCTGGGCCCAAGCCGTCCTCCTGCCTCAGCCTCCCGAGTACTGGGACTGCAGGCCACGCCACCACGCCCGGCTCCTTTCTGCATCTAGATTTTAGAAACAGATACTTCAAAAAACTTGAAATGTTGTGAATTAATAATGACCTCTTTCCTTGTTCTGTACGTAGATAGTTACTGTGGGTATAGATTCTGAATCACTTGAGGCACTGATTGTTCTTTTCTTGCGAGCAGGATGAGTGGATGCATGTGATTAAAAGTGGATTCTCTCTTCCTGAGCTTATTTATTTGGTTTCTGAATAGAAATTTCCAATTTATTCTTTTCTTTTGTGCCAAACTCAAATAAGATTTATAAATACCATTTTAATTTTCTTGGCTTTTTTGCCTCTAAAAGACTGAGCTTAGGGGAGACGTTTAGGGAAAAGCATGGATATCTTTTAGAATGTGATCTAGAAAAACGTCTAAAAGTGAAATTAATCTTTTGGTTGAAGAATCAAGATATAGCAAGTATTTTATTTTGCAGAAAAACAAAACTTACGGTGTGTTTGCTTTCAAGAGCTCCCCGTGCTCTGCTGCTCATGCACCTGCCCTTTGGTTCTCCAGAGCTCTGAATCCAGCATCAAGAAGAAATTTCTCAAGAGGAAAGGGAAGACCGACAGCCCCTGGGTGAAGCCTGCTAGGAAAAGGAGGCGGAGAAGTAGAAAGAAGCCCAGCGGCGCACTGGGTGAGCACTGTGTGGCATGGGGTGGGCCGAGAGGCCAGCCTGGGGGTGTGGGGTTGGGTGGTCAGGATTTCATCTGAAAAGAAGCCTCCATTGTTAAAGAGAAATGTTTGGAAGGGCTTCGTTCGAGAAACTTGGCTGATCCTGAGTGGCTTCCTCCTGCAGACCTAACTGCCGTGACCCGCGGTTGAATGCTGAACCCGCACAGGGAGACCAGGCGCCTTGGGCCTGGCTGGCATCTGCCAGGGTGCGAGGAGGGACATCTGTGGCTGCGGTGGCTGCCCTCAGGGTCCTGAGTGGCCTGCGTCTTGGTCCACGGGGCGGCGTTGGCCTTCGGTCAGAGTCCCCTGTTCTAGGAGTGGTTTTGTGAATTACAAGGTGAATGCAGGGAAGAAAATCACCCCTCAAACCAGGGAGGCTGCAGCAGGTTTAGTGTGCCAAGGATCATTTTTTTTACACCTTCATTGAGGTACAGTTGGCGTATCATAAAACGTGCATAAACAAAGTCCCCAGTTGGGTGGGTTTTGACGTTTATGACCATGAAACCGTCACCACGATCAATACCGTGAATGTTTCGTCCCCCCAGGCCCCTCCACTCAGGACCCAGAGGGCAGCCCCCGTGGCCACAGACCGCCCTTCTCTGTGCCCTGGGGAGTATCCACACAGATGGTCACCCTGCCGCCCCCCTAACCCTCCCCTCCCCCAGCTGCCCCTTCCTGGCCCCAGACAGCCACTGATCTGCTGTTTTTGCTGATTGGTCCGTGCTTCATGGTGTCTTAGGTTAATGGAGTCACTCTGTGTTCTTTTCCCTGTGGCTTCTCTGACCACACAGATAGTCTTAGCACCATCGCACCGCTGTGTGTGCAGCTGGTTTCTTCCTGTCTGCTGTGGGCAGTGTTCTGTGGTGTGGCTGTACCACGGTTTGCTTACCCATTCGCCTGTCGACGGACTGTTAGACTCTTTCTTGTCTTGGGCTTTAGAGATCAAGCTGCTGTGAACATTTGGGTACAAGTCTTTGTCGAGCAGACGCTTTCCTTCGTCTTGGGTGGATATTTCGGAGTGGACTAGCAGAGGGGCAGGTGTACGTTCAGGTCTTGGGGAAGCTGCCAAACTGTTTTCTAGAGCGCTTGTCCTGGGTTACGATGCCACCACTGCACACGGGAGTTCCAGTTCTCCAGTGTCCTTGTCGACACCCGTGTGGGTCAGTCTTTAGTTTCGGTGGTTCTGCGGAGTGTGCGGTGGTGTCTCGCCGGGTTCAGCCTGTGTCCGCCCAACCAGTGGTGAGATTGTGCATCTCAGCCGTCGCCTGCTTGCTTTTGTGAAGTTTCTGTTGGTATCTTTTGCTCACTTTTTAAATCAGGTTGTTTTCATTAAGTTGCAGGAACTTTTAAAATATCATGGTTACCAGTCTTTTGTCACGTGGGTGTTTTATGTGTATTTATACTTAGTCTGAGGCCTGCCTTTTCATTTTCTTAATGGCATGTTTAGAAGAGCAAAAGCATAAAACATTTTATTAAAGTCTAATTTGTGAATTGTTTTCTTTTACGGTTCATACTTTTGTGCTCTGAGAAATCTTTGACTGACCCAGGCACAGAGCTTTAGTCCCGTGTTTTCTTGTTGAGCTTTCACAGTTTCAGCGCTTGCAGGCCGGCGTCTGGTCCGTGCTGAGCTCAGTTTCCATGCGGCGGGGTTGTGGCGAGCTCGCTTGTGTGCGGGTGTAGGCCTGCACTCGCTCCTGTTGCATCGTGAACTGGCTTTTCTTTCTGGGTTGAATCACGTCGGGACCTTTGTCGGCAGTCGGTGTCTGGGGCTATTTCTGGACTTTTCAGTCTGTCCTACACCAGTGTCAGGGAGCCGCAGCACTTTGTTCTCTTTCAGTTACTTTGGCCAGTCCTCCAGACGCCCCGGGGGCACCTGTGCTCTGCGGTGCAGGCTCCGGGCTGTGGGCGAGCTGCTGCCTCCCGGGACCTGTGTCTGTCCTTCAGTCCTGCTGCTCTTTTCCTCAGCTTTGTCCGCTGACGCCAGAGCACTCAATGTGGTTTTTACGTTGGCCAGCAGTAGGGTTTGCAGATCCGGGTCTAAAAGTGGTTTTGGGGTACAGATTTTGCCTTTGTCACCCTGGCTGTGATGTATAAAATACATGCTTTCACATATTTACATAGGAGTTTGGATTTTATTTCTTTGTGAGTTTTAGTGTTTGTTTCTTTATTCTTTACGTTTAAAGTTGTACAGAGCACTCATGTTCTTCATATTGATACAATGGAATGATTTCTGAAAGGTGGCTGGTTCTTCCTGTCTGTCTAAGATCTAGGTGCACAATCTGACATGAATTAAAGACTAGGGACAACCTGCCCCTCCGTGCTAGCGGCTCCCTTCTTTCCGATCATCGGGATAATACTGGCAGCTAGCATGTAGGAGCATGGCTGTGAGGGGCTGTCGTCTGCCCTGTGCTGGGGTTAGATGTCGTCTGTTGTTAAGTGTTCGCTCCATAGGCTTAGCAAACGCCCTTACAGTCACAAGTACCCAACCTTGGGCTGCTTTTTCTGGCCCTCCTGGGAAGTGTGTAAAGGCTGACCTGCTGCCACTGCCACTCATGTCCTCAAGGGCAGAGGAGGCCACCGTAGTGGTTGAACTTCCCACTTCCTACGCTGCTGAATGCAGGGATCCAGCTGCCCGTCAGCCTTCCTGCTCCCTGGCACTTCAGATTTTACTACCCTCCAGGGAGTGGCACCCTTCGTGAACCACCCATGTCCAACAGGGTCGTCCCTGACCCTTCCCTGGGAATCACTGGGCACTTTCTAGCCGACACAATTTCCCGGCGACACGGCACCTTTGGGGCTGTCTCTTTAGCCACTTTATATCAGCCAGTCTTTCAAATCTTCAGATTAGAATTTTCTGTTGTTTTTAAAATAATTCACAGAACACGTGTATACCACATTTTTATCCACTTCCTTGATTATCTGATCAGCTTTCATGTAGCTGCGTATTTGCAGAGAAAGATGTGTTGACATGGCAGCATCTTTGTTTTTCTCGACACAGCTCCCCCCGTCCCGTGACTACTATGTATGGGTAGCAAAATGAACTGCAGGAAGGTGACGGTGGCACTGGGATGGCTTGAGCAGCAGTGGGTTTCCGTCTGTGTCTTTGCGGGTTGCCCAGAATCAGCCCGTGTCCAGGGGCTCGGCTGCCCGTCCTCCGGGGCGCGGCTCTCTGGCGCAGTGTTTTACGGTCTGTGCATTTTGCATCTAGGTTCTGAGGCTTATAAGTCATCTTCGGGAAGCACAGAGCCCACGGCACCAGGAGGCAGCACAGGGTATGTGGAAGTTTCTCTGGACTCCCTGGATCTGCGCGTCAAAGGGATCCTGTCCTCCTCAGGAGCCGAAGGTGAACGCCGTGTTGTGCCCGCGGCCGGGCACCATCTTGGTTCTCTGTCTGCTAGCAGGACGCCCCCTGGTGGGTGCTAGTGGGAGATTTGGTCACATGCGTCACTTAAAGGTGACCGAGTAGGCATGGTACGGAGCGCGTGTGCTATGTCTCACAGCGTTCAAGCAGGAAGCAGAAATCCTGGAAACCCTCCAGGGTGAAGCAGGAAACACCCCAGGTGGGAGCAGCGTGCTGGTGCTCCGTCTTGCCACGCTTTCCCGCGTGGGCCAGACTCGCCCTTCCACAGAGGCCCTGGCCGGGAGGCGCTCCTGCCTGGCAGTGTCTCGGGATGTGCACGGGGAACAGGATTTTGGGGACTGTGCCTAATGGTCTCCGGTGTGGATTCTGGTGGGTCGAAAATGTCTTTTGGTTAGAGTTGAGCTGACAGTTCTCAGGCACGTTCCGTAAAGGGATGAAACACTACGGCGCTGCTTTCCTGCCCGTAAGTCACAGGCGCAGCTTGCCGTGGAAGTTCTCATGCCCGCTATTAACACTCACTCACCTTTTCTCTGTCAGCTGTTCTTCCCAAGCTGCTGAAAGCCTTGTATCATGGTTCCGCATACCGAATAGTGCTGCCTTTCTCGCTGATTGTCGCGCTGTCTTTAGCATAAGAGCTCTTTCTAAACCGTTTCCTCTGTTCCATTAATTTCCTCATTCTTGGTACAGAATTACATTTATAAATCTGCTTTAACACCTAGTGAGGCAAATACCCTCCATTCTTATTTTTCAAAATGTTTGTGTTGGTTTTTGGTTGTTTTTTTTAAAAAAATTCTTTTATCCAAATTTGAAGTAATTTTCTTAAAATTTCACTTAACACCTTCCCCCCATCCTCCTGGAATATTGTTTGGAACTGCATTGTATTTATAAACACACCGCATCTCTCCAGGTATTTAAGAGTCTTCGTACATCCCCCAATATAACGTCATAATGTGCTTTGCACAAGAACCACACTTTTCTTGCTAAGACCATTCTTGAGTATCGTATGTTTGTCACTATTATAAATGATATTTCTTTCTGTTATATTTTCTGACTGCATATTTCAATAGGAAACATTTATTTTTGTACCTTTGCCTTGGATACAGCCAATTTACTGAGCTCACTTACTAATCATAAAGCAATTGTTACCAAACTTGTCTGCACATTAGAATCACTTTTAGAGATCTATAAACATTTCAAAATCTAGGACACACCCAAGAGCAACTAAATTATGCCTCCGGTTGGGGCTGAAGCAGCTGGAGGTTTTGACATTCCCCATGTGGATGTCAATGAGTAGTTAAATTTGAGACCCACTATTCTAAAGGATTTTCCACCAGTTCTTTGGGTTTTTGAGGAATATGATTTTATCATTTGCAAATAACTATAGTTTATCTTCTCATTTATAGTCATTGTATCTTTTTTTCAAGTTTTATTGTATTACTCAGAATTTTTAAAGCAATGTTAAGTAACAATAAAAGCAAACATCTACCAAGAAAACCCCTTATAGCAATGAAAAGTAACTAATACCTGTTTGATCGTTTGGACGATGTATTTGAAGTGTAATGTGGGAACATTTGAGGTCCCATGTTGTGGACATTCCACGTGGATCTTGCATTGGGGGGTTGTGGGTGGATGCCGGGTTTAATGAATCATTTTAAAAATAGGCAGCTTTTTAGGTTTTGAACCCTAGGCGAGGTTTGATTCACCTATGTAATTTAGGAAATCACATCTTTAGCTGAAGACCATCAAAGAAACAATGATTTTTTTCCTTCTTGTATCACCAAATGGAGCAAAAACACCTCTTGAATACGGTGAAGTCCTTAGCAAAGTCACCTGTGCTCGCTTTCGTGGTTAAGCATAACACTGTATTTAAGTTTTCTAAACTTGCTTTTAGATTTGGAGGTATCAGGAAGTTACAAATTTGGTTGTAAGCAGGAAATGGTGTTTCGTTTTATCACATCGACTCCTCTGCTCTGGTGGCCTCGGGCTTGCTGAGCCACGGGGGCGTGAGTGAGATCACAGAGGGCCCTTCGGCCTGCGAGCATTTCTGTTCTGTCTGTGGTAGAAGCAGCTGAAACGTCGCTGTACGGATCTCCCAGAAGTTACTTCTGTGACTGGTCGGCGCTGACTGGCCTAGAGAACCGACAGTGGAAGGAGCAGTAGCGTCGCTCTCTGTGCTCATGCCCGAGGCAGCTGGAGCCGGATGGGAGGGCGGAGGGCCGGGGCTTCCTGGAGACCGAGGCCGCACACCTCAGACGGGACAGGTGTGCGTGGCCAGTGGGAGTCTGCGCGCAGGGTCAGTGGGTTGGGGACGGCTCTGCTTGTGGTTCACGAGGGTCCAGGCCTGAGCCTCGGCCCCAGGAGAATATCTGCATGGAGATGGGAAACCCTCTGGTTTGCGCTTGCGTCTCTCCTCGTTGCCTCTGCCCCGGGCTGGCCCAGCCCAGGTGCAGTGATGAAGGCCGGGCCGGTGGGGGCAGCAGGAGAGTCCTTGGACATCTCATTCGATGTCCCTGAAGGTCCCCGCTTCTGGGAAAACGGCCCAAGCCCAAGGAGCCGGCGTCGCCCGAGTGCGCAGAGCCGGGTCTCACCTCTCCCCTCAGCCTGCTGAGGGTGCTGACCTGACAGCCGCTCTGTGCAGTTCGTGTGGGTTCCTCAGGGTTAGGACGGCATCGCTGAGCAGGGCGTCTCAGAAGCCTCCCAGCTTTAACCTTGTAACAGTCCTGACTTGAATTTTACCTCCTCATTTTCCTGACCTTTTGGGGTGTGGGTGACCCCGAGGAGAGGCTGGTGGGCCGGCGGCGGGTGAGCGCGTCGCTGCTGTGTCGGAGTCGGTGAGGCCACGAGCCCTCCTCCCTGCGGAGACCGTGGCTCTGCCGTCCACCTGTTTGTCACACTGGCTGCCACACTAGGAAAAACAACTTTTTTCCTTGGGCCACAGTGTTTTATTAGGAAAACAGAATAAAAGCGTTGAAAACAAAACGATCCTTTCTAATTTAAAGAAAAGTTTGTTATTTTTTATTGTTTTCTGTGCATGAGTTATATGCAACTTGAAAAATAGTTCATACAGCATCCAAGGTAGAGAGACGTGTGAGTTACATATGCTTCACAAGGCCCTGGGGTCAAAACTGGTGTGAGTTAAATATAACTCATGTATCAGTTAATGTGTTACTGACCCTTTGCACGGATCCAAGTTCCCTCCTGGCTGTGACTAGTGTCAGATTCCAGACGGGCTAGAGATGAGCAGAGCGACTGACTCAGCGTGGGTGTTCAGAGGTAAACTGAGGCACAGACAGCCGTTCGTGAATTAGGCAGGTCCCCACCAGAAGTGGTTTGGGAGCTCCACCGAGGGAGCGCAAGAGGAAGGCTCTCACAGGGCACCGTGGAAGTAAAGCAAAGAAAACGCGTGCTTGGCCACGGTTGCACGGTTGCCTCATCTGTCCTGTCCTGCTAGAACGTCCCTAGTTGCATGTGTTGGTTGGCTGCTTCTGATTGGTTGAGTGTAAGTTCCATTTTTCTTTAATATGGGCATTTGCAAGAAATAGCCCACAGTTTCATGTATGTTTTCAAATCATGCAAGGCCAGGACTGCCTCCTTGGCTTACCTGGCTTTTTCTGCTCAGGGGTTCTTTGGGCTTTGTCTTCTTTTTGATTTACTTTAACAGTGTATTTTTTAGATGTGGAAACACGAGTTAATTATTTTTAATTGAGGGAGGTCAGTAGTGAGTATTTGAAGCCCTTACTCACCTTTCATTTCTCCTTCGTTTCACGAGGGAGCATGAAACGCCACCTGGCTTCCTCTGGGAGCGGCAGCCACTAGTTGGGCTCAAGGGGTCTTCCTGGTGGTACCCTCTGCCCACCCGGAACCAGCCCTGCTCCCAGCCCACCACAGTCTGCCCTGGGGTGATTCCTGCTTTTACTGCCAGTAACTTCTTTAGCCCTAATTATTCTCTAGTTTATTTTTTTTTAATTTTCCCCAACTCTTCTCTCCCTCAGCCTACTAAATGGGCTCTTTAGATGATTATAGTAGGTGAATGATATTCTAGATAACAAATAAGCCATTATTAAAGCCTTACAAACTGAAAACATTTTTTGATGGCTGCAATTCTAAAACCAAGTGAGGAAAACAAGGTCTCAATGTGTAGCGAATGCTTTTTTCTGTGAAAACCAAAAGATTTAGGAGCTGCTGCTGAAGGTGCAGCCTCTCTCTTTTGAACTCAGGCCCTGGGTCTGAGAACACAGATTGACAAGCAGCTCTCGTGCCCCGGCAGGTGGTGTGTTAGCGGGACACAGGCTGCTCCCTTGGCCGCAGTGGGTGTTCGGTGAGCATCGGACGCTTCCCGCCATGCAGGGCCGTTTGTGCCCGTGTACTCGTCCGTGTTGCGTTTATTTCCTTGCACACAAGATCACTATCGAGACTGTAATTGATCACTTTCTGGACAGTTCTTTTGAGGTCAGGATTGCTTGCGCTGACGTGTGTCTGTGTAACGTTAGGGTTGGCCAACGGTCCGGACGCGCTGGAGACAGACGGCCTCCAGGAAGTGCCTCTCTGCAGCTGCCGGATGGAAACCCCGAAGAGCCGCGAGATCACCACCCTGGCCAACAACCAGTGCATGGCTACCGAGAGTGTGGACCATGAAGTAAGCCCGTTTATTTTCACTTAAACAACAAGAAATTAGCCAGTGCCCCAGGGAGCACGGCCCTTTCTGCCGAGCCACAGACGCCCCCGTCCGTCGTGTTGCACAGCCAGGGAACCCCGCGGCTGTGCGCAAAGCCAGCTGTGCAAACACCGGAATGAAATAACTGCAGATGGTAAAGCCAGACACAGGTCTAGAGCATGTTAGAAAGGAAGGTGGTGCAAACCGAGTTTGAATAAAAGTGGCCTGTTTGTTTCTCTTTACGATCACGCTTTCATAAAGGTTTCTCCTACTCTGCTGCAGAGTGGGAAGTGAATAGGCAGAGACGGGAGGGTTGTGTCAGGGTGAGCCTGCGCCCAGGCCCCGCGGCCGCCCCCGCCTGGAACAGAACAGCAGGAACAGGCAGAGCACAAAGGGAATTCACGTTTTCTGAGAATTTCTCTGATCCTTTTTGACAAGATTTCCTTTAGCCCTTCCAGCCACTTGACCATGGCTGGCCGTGGGGAGGGCTGAGCAGAGGCTTGGTGGCCTGGGGCCGGGAGAGGCTCCACACTCGCAGCCACAGGAGCCCCACGTCCGTGGGCCTGGCTCTGTGTGTGCTGGGGACAGGGTCAACACAGGCGCTTTTAGCTCTGTCCACGCCCTGATGCAGCCGTCTGGCCGCCATTCCCGGGAGGTCTCTGGTCTTCTTGGTCAGTGGAGCGTCCCCTTCATCACAGTTACTGAGGCTTACCTGTAAGTTTTAGAATTCGGCGAAGTACTAACAGCAACAACAACTCACACAGCGTTTCCTGTGTGCCAGGCCTCGTGCCGAGCCGGTCCCCACGTGCCTCCTCTGGTCTTTGTGGCAGCCTGTGCAGCACAGACTGTCACTGCGGCCCTGCAGGTGAGGGCGGAGAGGTCAGGCAGTGTGTCCAGAGCCGTGTCTCCCAGTGGCGCAGGCAGGACTGGAAGTCGGGGAGCACAGGCAGCGCCGGGAGGGGCCACAATGCTCTGCCGTTGCCAGGCCGGGCCAGCGAGGGCTGCGCTGGGGGTCGGACTGTGCAGCTCTGCCCGCAGCTCCCACCCCGCTGCCTGGTGCCAGCCAGCAGATCTAGCCCAGCTGGGACTCCGCTTTTCTGCTGATGATGCTGGTCCAGGGAACAGCCTTGGAGGACCACAGGCATTCCTCGTGCTCTCCTTCAACTGGTGTTAGGGACTGGCAGTCACGTCTCAGTTTGGAAATTTATTTGCCGCGTGAATTTAGTACGCATAGTTCACGTACACAGCACCCACGCGCAGACTCAGACGCCAGCATCGTTCTGTCCCATCCCAGCCTGGCTGGACCGCCCTGCCTCAGCAATTCTCACCCACGGCACGTGTGGCCAGCAGCCTCCCCACCTCTGAAACATGCACGTCACCTGCCACATGCTCTGTCACTCTCGACCTCGCCACAGAATCCTTCTACATTTTCAAAAGAACATTTTATAATGAAAAAGTGCAACAGAGCCTTTGGAGCCCATCAGTGTCGTCTCACCCTCCTGTCCTTCCTTGGTTTTGAGCTGCTGTGTTAAAACAGACTCCATTTTACCACTGAATATCTCAGTATCTATTTCCATTAAGAAAAAAACGTTTTCCCACATAACAGCAGTGTATTTTCACATGTAACAGAAATAACAATAATTTCCTGTTGTTATGTAGTGCCTAGTCCGTACTTAAATGTCTGTCAAAAGAAATGCCTCTTGCTTTTTTTTCTCTGATTGGATCCAAACAAGTTCCGCTCGTTAAGTTTGTTGCAGTGTCTCTTGTATCTCTTTTAGCCCAAAACATTCCTCCGCCACCCCTTCTTCCCACCGAAACCGGACTGCAGGTCCTGGATTTAGCTGAGGGCTTTCTTGCTATGTCATATAAGTCATTTCCCTAGTTCCTGTAGGCCGGAAGTTAGATCTGAAGACTTGGGTAGATTCACGTACTTAAGGTTTTTAATTTATGATTCAGTCGTGGCAGAGCTGCTCTGGGAGGGGCTCTGGGAGCCAGGGGTGGTGCTAAGAGGAATCTGGGATTTTGCAGTGGCCGCCTGTCCCTTCCTCACCTGCCTTTTGGCCGAGAGTTTCACCTGTCAATCCCCGTGACCACCACCTGAATCCAGTTTTTCATCAGAAGTTGCAAAATGGTGACTTTGCAATTCTGTCATTGCTCCTGCAGCCACAAACTGGAATTCTTTGGTGTGGAAGAACGTTCCTTTATTTGTTGGGGCTCTTTGGTACTTCAGAAATAGGTCTTACCATGGACGGGCAGAGCAAAGAGCTACTTATTTCTCCTTTCAGAGGAGCGAACTGGTGCTCCCTGAGCCTCCAGTGGTGTCCAGGGGGCTGGGCTTTTCTTCTCTCTGTCCTCTCCACCTCCCTTTCTGCCTTCGGCATGCTTAGAAACTCACAGTCTTTTCTACATTGAATGTGCTGTAAACTTTTTTCTTACAAAATTAAACATAGATCCAGAACATCACACAAAACAAATGCTGGGCCTAACGAATCATCTGAAGTGAACTCTGGTAACCACCGCTGAGGTCAAGAAGTAGAACTTCGCCCTTCTGCGCCCTGTTCCCACCCGTGGTTTCCTCCCAGGCGGGAACCTCGCCCACCTTGCACGGTGCTGCCTCCCCGAGCAAGTTGGCCCCTCGAGGCTCCCGCCCCCTGGGCCATGTGGACTCCACTCTGCGGTTGCAGCTCAGCAGATCTCTGTGTTTCCTGCAGAGCTGCAGCTGGGTACGGAGATGGGCTCAGTCCCCTCCCTTTTCCCTTTGCAAGACTCTCGGGGGCACAAGGTGGCCTGTTGTCCCTCTTTTCCTGATGTTAGCCACTGTCATTCATTGGAAGTCTCAGAATGGTCTAATTCTATCATTTATTGTTCATTTATTGGTTGGAAAGGTTTTATAAAGAGACAGTTCTCAGCTACCATTTTAATACCCAGTGGTACATCTCATAGTGGAAAGACGGGACTGATGTTGGATTCTTTCCCTGTGTTTATCAGTCTTTAAGATATGGAATTGGTTCTCTGTCATCTTCTGAGATTGAGCAATTCTTTCTTATAAACATCATTGTGAACTTGGGTATTTAGACGTATTTGCCAGGTTCCATTCATCGTGTTCCTGTTACTGCATGTCTTGGGCCCACAGGATGCCTTCATGTTGAACTCTGTCATGGGTCCAGGAGACCCAACTGTTTTTATGATGATACCGAGAAGCTGTGTTCCTTTCCGCTGTCGTGCTTTCACAGAGCAGGCAGTGGAATTGGTAGTTTCGAACGCTTGGAAGATCTGCATAACCCAGAGAGCTGCTAGTTTGCACAGTGTTACAAAATCAAGCAAGGGTAAAAGATCCATTCAAAGCGCAAGAAAGAACAATGGATTTGAAGGTAATTGTACTACAAGTTTGTGGATAATGCTTTTGAGATTCTGTATTGCCACAGATCTTCAAGAAACTTCCACTTGTTGAGTTTTGGTGTAGTTTCAAACAAGAGTATCCATGATTATCTGCTTGGCGTGAAGGAGCAGATATGAGAATCAGCTGTTTTGTATTAAACTGGGCATTAAAGAATTCAGCAACTATTATAAAACAGTGCTACTCATTAGCATTTTTATGTTTTGAAAAACAGATTTGCATTAAAATATGTTCTTTTTTTGTTAACATGTGATAGGTTCATTGCTGTTTTTACCTTGTTTTATTTTGTTTTCTGTTTATAGAGATGGAGTCTTGCTCTGTTGCCCAGGCTGGAGTGCAGTGGTGTAATCACAGCTCATGCAGCCTCAAACTTCTAGGTTCAAATGATCTTCCTGCCTCAGCCTCCCAGAATGCTAGGACGACGAGTGCACACTGCCACACCCGGCTGATTTTTTTTTCTATTTTTTTGTAGAGACAGAGTCTTGCTATGTTGCCAGGCTAGTCTTAAACTCCTGGGCTCAAGCAGTCTTCCCTCCTCAGCCTCCCAAAGTGCTGAGATTACAGGCGTTAGCTACTGCACCCAGCCCAGTTTATTGCTGTTTTTAAATGAATATTTTTAAGTTTTCTCTATTTTAGTCTCAAATATGGTAAATACCAATACAATAACCTACTTAAACAAAACCTCTTTGGGACCCGTAATAATTTTTAAGAGGTATAAGAAGACCCTTAAAAATATTTTTAGTGGTTGCCCTGGAGTATACAAAGGTCTTGAGAACCGTTGGGCGAGGCCTGAGCTCTCTCTGGGCGGACCTGCTCCCTTTGCTTCTGCCGTCCCTGTTCTGTCCCATCAACTTTTCCTGTGCGGGAGGGACCCCAGCAGGTCAGCTCTGAGAGTTCTTGGAAGCTGGACTGCACCAAGCCCTCTGGATCTGACGGCTGCCCCTGGACTCACCCCACACCCCCGCTGCCCTGCTCTGCTCACCAGGGAGGCGCTCTTGGGGACCACGTCCTCCCCCATCAGTGCTCCTTCCCTCCCCACCTGACACCCACGTCCTCATCTCATGGCTGGTGGGTTTGTCTCTGCTACTTGTGACAACGTGGTTTTGTTACAGATGTTGTCTGTGGGTTTGGATTTGCTGTCTAGTTGGTCCTTCTGCTTTGTGTGGGATTCCAGGAGGTGTCGAGGCCACTGCTGTCTTCCCAAAAGATGTGTCTCTTTGTGGTGTTCAGCCTGTTCCACTTGGCCAGAAGCAGACCATCTCCTTTCTCCTTGTTTTCAGCCAGGTTTATGGAGGCATAATTCACACACAGTGAATGTCACCATTTTTGTGTACAGTTCTGTGAGTTGTGACAAATGCACGCGACTCTGTGACCAAC